CACCAAGAGCAAGATGAGCCTCACTGCGGCTTCATATGAATCGTTGGCTGATATCACCCTTGCAGCTTCACTTGAAGTCAAATTGTCAAGGCCATCAGGCTTCTCCTCGGACCTAAGGGGCCGCGGTTGGCGCTCTTTAGGCAATCCAGGGACCAAACGCTCCCGGGCTTTGGAAGCGGTCCCACAACTGGGCGCGAAGTGCGCATGCAAGAGCCGATGCCTCTCGGCTTTGACCAAGCCCTCCAGTATTGAAAAATGATTCTTATCACACAAGTCATATTTTGCAACTGCTGCGTTTTCTGCTCTACTCAAGTCTTTATCCACCGACAATGCTTGTAGGCCAATTCCACGACAAGCTTTGCTGAGCCGACACGATCCGGCAAAAATCTCAAGGACCAGTCCTGTACCCTTATTGCACATTGAATCGCCAGGCAACTGATGGCTGGCAGGCTGCGTCTGACTAATGGGACCAGGCCGATCGACATCCTTTATAGGACACATTGGAAATCTTGAGCAAAAATTGGATGGCCCACTGTACAAGGCCTTGGCTCACATGCACCCTGTTGATCTGATGTTTCTAGTCAACCAGGGCAATCTGCTGCTCCGTGTCCCGTTTTGTGACACTTCATGCATACGTGCATCCCAAATCTGCACCGGCCATTCTTGACTGTGTTATTGCACCCTTTCTTAAGGTTCCTATGCCAGCAAATGGGTTTGCCGTCTGCAGTCCTACTTGTCAACCCTTTCAACTCAGCTGGCATCTGAGGCACGGGCTTCGGCGGCTGGTTTTTTGGCTTTTTAGGACTTGGTTTATCTCCAGGCTCATCACCAGGACGCTTTGGGGTTTTCGGTGCAACTGGCTGCTGCTTTGGGTATGCAATCAAATGAACATTGATGCGTGGGTCGTGCATCAGGCGCTTGAACGTTTTGTCCAACGGCGGCTCTCTGCCAGGCAATGCTTTCAAACCATCTGTATGTTCCATGACAAGCAATGTAAACATCTCCCGATCAGCTTTGAGAATCTGACTCACTCCAACTGCTGAAAAATTTGCTGGAGCATCTGAGATCAGCACGGTCATGAGCTTGTCCAACCAAAGTTGACACAACTCCCAGGAAAGCAAATGAAGCATCTCGAAAGCCAAGTGCCGTCGCATCAAAGCAAAGTAAACCTTCAACTCAGTGGAAGTGTCAATGTCTGTCATGGCATTGGCTGTGGTTGTTTTCAAGGCCCCCTGTTCAAGGGCAACGATTTGCTTGGTCTTCTGTTTTGCCTCATTCTGAATCTCGTGTTCCCTTGAATGGCACTTTGAGGGATGAATGTAAATGATGGCACCTGACTCTATCAAGTTGTACACCTGGTCAATCAACTGGTGGGCTGGCTGCTGCTCAGGTCGGTGCGACAACCCACTGATTCGGCGCTTCTGCATTTCAAGGCGATTCTGCTTTTCAACAAATGGAAGTTTACGCACAGGCTCTGACGGGTCAGTTGCTGTTACCTGCGACTTCATATCTGCCATAAGAAATGTACAAGCCTCAAAATGGAGTCTCCTTATGTTGGCTGTGTTCCCCACTGTGGCCACTCCTCCATGAATTTTTCCCGCCAAATCTGACAGCTCTGTTTCACTGACTTGGTTCTGAGGTGACCCCAACGAAAATGCCAGAGTTGAAAAAGACGTGATGTCCTGGGCCTTACACTTCGTGTAGAGCTGGTCCTCCAGTTCATCACAACGCTTTTGAAAAGCGGCCTCTGATTCCACCAGTGCCATGTTTCAGCAACGGGTAGCGTTTGAGGTCCCTACAACAAAAGAAACAATGAACCAGCTGTCAAAGTGAAAGAAAAACTGGGTCAGATCCAAAAGAGGGTGTATTTAGAATGGAGTGTGGTTTATCAACTTCTGTATCTATATGACATGCTCACTTATGCAATTTGCAACAAGTTGAGAGTGCCTGGGTTAAGGTCTGGACGTTCCTGACATGCATGATGAAATGAGCCAAACAAACGTATCATGCACTTCATGTTGCACACCTGGAGCCGACATGTATGACAAGTGGAATGAAATGTTTGACAGGTGGTTTTCAATGTGTGCGTTCTCACCGTGTCTCATGTTGACACTAACCGGTGAATGATTTGCACAAGGAGATGCTGCCTGTCAAATTTTTTCCACAAGAAGGCTCATAGCTCTGCGTTGCCAAGTGTTTGGCTGCAAAGGTCCAGCGCTCATGTTGTCTGGCTCATTCATCCGACCCTAGACACGAGCGGGTGCCCAGCTGTGCGCCAACATCGGCCACAGCAAGGGGTGTCCCAACGGAGTTTGCTGGCCTGGGAAATCTCATGCTTTTCCCCAGCCATCCTTCCACACTGGAACACCCTATGGTGCTCCAACTCCATGAGGTGAAGCATGCGGCTCTTGGTGTGCTGGTACATCTTGAAGCCCACCGGCGCCTTTGGCACGGTTACGGGTCGACTGCACCTTGCAGATGCCACTGCACTTTTATCTGAGCTTGAACAGGTGTCAGCTTCGTCCTCACTGTCAGACTCAGCAATTTGTTCCACCTGTGCCATCTCATGCTTAACGTCCTCATCATCACTGACCAGAATAACTGTACTGTCAATCTCCTCTGTGGCTGGGTCCAAGTTCATTGAAAAGTATCCAGACCTTGTGGTGTCCGGCATAAAATGCCACTGCGTATGTCAGCCAGCATGCGTGCCATAACCCGCAAGGGCTCAGCCAGGGCGTCTCTTGAATATCTGATGACCGACTGCAAGTGGGAAACATGGGCCCCCAAAATCTCACGCACTGATATCTCTGCTCCATACTTCGCTAAGTATGAAAGGATGGTGGCTTTGGCACTATGGGATGAAATTCTGCGTTCACCCATTGCTATGCCACCTCTCCTCAAAAGCAAACGGATCCACTCCGCAACTTCCTTAGTGGTAAGGGGCCTTTTGGTGGCCTCCCCTGCAGCGTTCGGTGCTGGCATGATGGGAAAATCCTCATGCAAAGGTGCCTGCAACATGTTTCTAACTACCAGCCAGTTCTGCGCCCAGTTCTCTGCCGACGCACCAATGGCTGGGGCCACTGCTGTAAGCAAACCACCCCTCCAAGCATTTGCATACTTTGTCTTGTACTCTGAAATGGATAACTCCACAAACTCAGGACAATGAGGGTGTGGATCTGCTGTCATTTCATTCGAGTGCTGAAAATCTGACCACCTCGACCTTGTATAAACACATCCCAGGAAAGCGCCAGCCATGTTACGATCCCAAACATCTGCATCAGGTGAAGCAAGGATGTCATGAAGTACCCGCAGCTCTGCAACTGTCAGCGGTGCTGCCTGACGGTTTGGCCCAGCTGTTGTCTGCTTTGCCGCACCTAAGCAGCGCTTGGACAGCAGGTCTGTCAAACCATTGAGGCCTAACACATGCTCCATGAACCTGATGGACTCAATCACAGCTGCAAGTCTCGACTGAGGTGCGCCTTCAGACCTTTGCTCCTTGAGAAAAGCATACAAGTCTGACTCAACCCCAGGCGCTGTCATCCCGTGATTGCGCAGAAATGTCATGTACCGTGTAATGGAGTTCACTCGTTTCAACAAGGTCAAAGGTGATCTGCCACTCAAAACATCTCTCATCATGGACATTTGCTCACCCAAGGTGGGTAATTCAGCCAGTTGAGCCACCAAGATAAATGACGTTGGAAACATGATCACCACGTCATACCAGCGTTTCAAAGCCACGTCCAGCTTGGCTTCATGAAGCTCCTGCCATGACGCCACATCCGAGGCCATGACCACTTGTTGCCAGGCCTGAGGTTCAGCTGCAATGCGCCTGCTTTTCAAAGCCGGGTGTTGCACTGGCAAGACATCTGGCAGAGGAGCCACTGCAGGTCTACTCAAAACAGGCATTGTCAAGCTACTTGAACGCTCTGACACATCAAAAATATGTTTCCACACGCCCGTTTCCCAAGGCATCGTCCACTGTGGCGCCGGCTCCAAAGATTGCCATGCTCTGTCCAATGCATTTTGAAAATCACCGGAAGTGAAAACATGCAAACCGTCCAACACTGAACCAGCAAAGTTTACTGCCGTAACATCCCAGTCGTCCAATTGGTCCCCCACTGTTTCAGATGGATCAACCCTGGCGTCATCAAAAAAGGGTTCAGACTGTTCACCACCATATGGGTATCCAACATCAAAACCTGACCCCGCAAAATCTCCCATAGGAAAAAGGTCAGGATTCGTATCTGTGGCCTCAGTCATTTTCTGCCCGTTGAGAAGACACGCTGGGAGTGTCCACCTGTGTCCAGGAACCTGTAATGATACGAATGGCAGGCGCAGTGTTACCCAAATGAAAAATATCTGGATTCCTAGCACCAGGCGTGTACAAATACGACAGGATGCTGTGTTGCAACAAAACTGCAGAACCACCACCTGCAAGAATGTAACTGCAAGATGTAGAATCAGATTGCAATGGTCGATGTGGCACCAGCGGCCTAAACACAGGAAGCCGAGGTTGTGACCTGTGTTGCATAAAAGACGATCTCCTAAAGAGTCCAAATCCAGGCGAAGAAAATCACAAATGCAGTGCCAAAACCTGAAATCACTGACAAAATGCACAGCCGATACGGAAATGGAACAGGTACCACTGGTTGAAAAACCACAGGAGACCGAAGCAACGCTTGGCCACGCGCCACTGCTTTGCCCATTTGCCAACGCTGCCCTCTTAAAAAGGGTGGAATTCCCACCCACCCTCCCTTGAAACGGAAAACATCAAACGAATGAAAAATCACACATGTGAACATGAAGTATCATCGATGTTTCCAGTTAAACAGGGAGACAACCAACAAACTGTTTACTGTTTGTGTTTGTTTGTTGTTTGGTGGTTTCAGAGAATTATTTTTTTTTGGTCTTGTTAATTTGTCCCACTGGGACAAATTTTTGTTGTCGTGAAAATAAGGCATTCATCTTTGATTCTCAAAGAGGTGTTGCTTGTTGGTGACCTGCAAAATCCCTTTGGGAGTCAAAGCAAGGTTGAAGTTCACGCCCAGCAAGTCGAAGGCACCAGCAAAGTTCAACGCTTTATCGCCTTCTTTGGCGTGTTCCCACCCCAGCATGTCCAGCACTGCGCTGAACGCAAGAGAAAGAACCCTGCAGCCCGGGGCTCTTTCCAAAGTGGGGAAGTCATCGAAATAGTGACTTGATATCGCAGACAGCAGCTTAGTCACTATGTACCATATGGCTTGAGACACCCTCACGAAGCCGTACACGCTTCCAGTGCAACCAAAGGGCAGGGAGATACTTCGATAGAATCTCCAGGTGCCACTCACAGGAAATCCTACCACCGCATGTTGTTGGTGAGCAGGAAGAATGGCAAGTTGTTTGTAAGCCTTGCTGAGGTCAAAGGTCTTGCCCATCCATTCATCTCCAGACACACCGGCTGCCGCCGCTTCTGACATCAAAAACAGAACCATGTTAGCTGCATAGTCCACGTCCTGGAGTTGCAATTTAACCGTGGAACTGTAAGCTGCATTGACCGCACTCTTTTTTGCATCATCGATCACCCTGATCTTGCCACCAGTGCCCTGGAAAAGGACGAAACGCGGGCTGAGGGACCAGTCCTCAGTTTCCAACAAAACGGAGATTTCCTGCTCTGAATATGGCCCTTCCAAAAAGCCCTTTGCCACTTCTTCAGCTGTAGTTTTAAGGGGAGCGGCTTCCTCCTCCGGTTTGAAGCGCTTGGATTGGCACATCAGCGACTTCCGCCTCCAAGCTGATGATTGTAGCAACTCATCCTCTGTGATGGACGCTGGCACCAGCTGCTCTCTGTATCCCTTAGGCGCAGCTTGCAACCCAACCAAAGGAATTCCCTGCTTCAACAGGGAAACAACTTCCAAATCCCAGAAGTCAAGCTGCTTGAGGACGTGTTCAAAAAGGAGGATGTTCTTGGTCACTGTGCATCGCTTGACATCTGGGTGCATTGTGTCCTTGAGGGCCAACTCTTGGCACTTCAGTTCGTTTGTCAATTTGCGCAGGTTGAAAACAGTGGCCAAGCGCTCTGTTGCAAGTATCAGTAGGTCGGTTCCAACCACCTTCTTAATAGCATCCTTTGTAGCCACATGCAGAAAGGATTCATCATCCATGGGGTGAGCGACAGCTTCAGCTCTAGTCAAGAACTGTTCAGGTGTATGCCACACCCCATATTTAAACTCCTTTCGCGGTCTCTTTGGCTCGTGTTCCTGTGGTGCCTGTGTCTCTTCTGGCTGCTCAGTGCTATGGTGCCCCTGTGAAAAAGGAGCTGACAGGAGCTTATGTGATTCATGCTGAATGGGGGCGTCTGTGTGAAAAACCGTTGCATACTCTGGAATCAACGGCTCGTGCCGCAAGGTCTGATGCCCCAAGCTGAGGTTGAGCAGCTCCTTCAAGCGTGGTTGAAGGCTTGGGAATACCCCCATTTGTTCGGCCGACTTTCGCACACATTCAGCCATGCGGTTGCATAGCAGTGGAGGGTATTCAGCCTCCATCGCTGTTGGAAAAAAACAACGCCATGCTCGCCACGAAAAGGTTGCCAGGAGGCATGCTGATGGTCCTTTGAACAGTCAATTGCCAGGGTGGAAAATAGGTCACTCGTGGCAAGCAGTTTCGTGCGCTTGTCTCTTGAGCTGCCATGCGCACATGCATCAAAATAAACTGTCTCCAATTTCGAATACCACAGAATAAAAGGTTGATCTTGAGTCTCATGAACCAGGAGCGCCAGCAGTGGCCACAACCAGGAGCGGCCGGGGTTCTCTATTGACACCAGGCAACCCAAAGCAAAACACAGTTGTAAAATGACAATTGCTGCACGGTAGAGCTGGTTCGCCAAGGTTACCTTGGTGAGGTCAGCCCCACAAAGGTGAGGCAGGCCCAACAAGTTGTCAGCATCCCTCAAAGGTTGAGGGCCCATGTGCCCACCCATGCTTTTTGGCATGGGCTTCTCTCTTGCTCTTGAACACGTTCCGCACGGCAAGCCCAGGTGTATGTAACCAGGCTTGACAAACTTTATCATTGACTCCAGTAACTGCAGTTGCTGCAGATTTGAAACATCCAAAACCAGCGTTCTAACCTTTGGTCAGTGCCGGTTGGCTGCATGGTCGATTGCGTGGACGTGGAAACCCAGACGCCTTAAGGCGGAAGACAGTCCCGCTGACCCACAGCAAACTTCTATAGTCACTGGTTGCAAGGTGAAAACTGCATCCTCCACAAAATGTGTAGGGGTGAAATTCAACTGCTCCTCCGCTCGCAAGTGTCAGATTGGGCATTCGTTGCCCGGGTGGTTCTTGTGGCATCCCTTCTTCCAGCAGATATGATAACCAACCATGCATCTCTTTCCTGGTTTAACCTTTGCAGTGCATCTTCCAATCTGCCAACGCTTGCATAATTGCTTCCCATCAACAAAAATTTTGCAGTTGTCAGGAACTTGAATCCCAGGGCCGGGCGCCTTGGACTTGCCCTTGCCATGTTTGCCTTTGCCTTCAGAAAACTGTTGACCTTTTCCCTTTGCTGAATGGGAAAAGATCGCACCGTGCTCAGGTCTGGATGATACGCTGCTTTGCAACGGAGACATGTGCTGCAGTACTTCAGGGTGCTCAGAAAACTTCTGAAAGGCTACGTCAAATGCCTTTGGATCTCCCGTTTTGGGCTGAAGCTGTCCCCTGGTTTCGTTTGACAGCTTTACCCAAAGAGCCTTGTCAGCGCTGAGAATCTGCTCAGCTGAAATACTGCGGTAATTTGCCAAAGGGGCCTCATTCATCTTTTCAAAAAGCTTCTGCGTCCACAAATCCATCACTGAAAAGGTTCCAATTCCAGCCAGGTCGTAGGCAAGGTTCCTACGTAAGAATGCCTGTCTGAGGCGATGTTCTCCTGTCACGTTTGTATCTTCCAACTTTTGTCTTTTACTGAGTTTCAGGCCACCTGACAGGTCCAAAGACAAGGCAGTATCTGTCTTTGCATGCAAGGTTTCATCTTGTCTTGACGTACATTTCTGAAGTTCAATGTATGAGACCACATTGTCGTCAAGTTGCTGGCAAACCTTGTCAATAAGGCTATGCGACGGCTCTGATTGCGGAGTAAAACTTATGCCAGCAAGTCGCTCCTTTTGGAGCCTGATCCTATCCATCTTTTCTGCCAAAGGGATGACCCGAGCTTCACTTGACTCAGACCGTTCTGCTCTTGATTTCAAGTCTTCAAGTGATAGTGCATGCGCTTCGAAAAACAGCCTACGAAATTTCGATGCAACTGAAGCTGAAGGCTCGGCTCCCAGCGTTGCGGTCAAGAAGGCTGTCAGAGGTGCATCATCAGCTTGACCAGGCTGAAAATTGCAACAATAAGCATAGGAAGCATAACTGGTTATGTTGACTCCCTTCAGCGCATCAATCTCGGCTTCTGTAGTCCCCAGTTCCAGTGCGCGATTTGTGAAAGCAACTTTGGAATCAATTGCCATTGAGCTCGCGGCCAGGTGCCCAATGAGGGCTGTCTGAAAGAATACAAATTTGGTTATTGAAGCCAGTTGAGGGTCCACAATGAAACAAAGTTGGGGAGAGTGAAGGAGAGGAAACCAAGACACATGAGTATCCCGTGGAGCGTTACAAGAACTTCACACAAAGGTTGGTCAGCCATGAGACTTGGAGTACCAAGTTAAACGTCGTGCAATGTCGTGATGTTCACGCAGCTCAGCCAAAAAATTGCAAATGAACTCGGATACTCCAATCACCAGGACAATTCACAATTGACCTCTGCCACATGCAAATGAAACATGTTAGGCATCGGGTTCTTGTTGAATGGTCCTGCAATGGATCCGGTTTGAAATGCAATTTTGGTCATGGTGTGAGTTGGCGTGAATGACATGTTGCAACTTGGTATGAAAAGATGCAACTGGTTGCATCAATTATATTCAAAAAGAAACAAGTTAAAACGTCACTGAAGTTGAACCTTTTTTTTATCTGACGCGCGACAGCAAATGCCTCGTTCCCTGCAAAATCTTTGGAATGCCGGGACTGCCGCCACTGAGGTTCATTTAAATTGCATTATCCGGGTTTGCCGCTCTGAAAGAGTGTGAGCAGCTGGCACAAATCACAGTCTCCGCATTGGCCAAATCATCCATGGATGCCTTCCTGAATGATGAGGAGGCACATCTTCCACACCAAAATTTCTGTTGTCCCAGAAGCTGCAAGTGAACGACCCTGGATCGTGTGTTGATGAAGCAGTGATCTCGGTCAATATCTGCTGCATCCAACCGTCTAAAAGAGGACGGTTCCTGCTCGCGGTGCTCGCCCTCTGATGAGGCCACACTTGAAGCATCAGTAGAGGTGGATGAGGTGTCACTGTCATCATCCGACTGCAATTCTTGAGCCCTGGCCATCGTAAGCTGCAGCAACCTTTGAACACGGCTGCCATCAGGGTTGAAAGTACCTGCCTTGATCTTGTCCATCATGTCATGAATCTTTTTGCAAAGGCCGATCTGATCGTCACGGGAGTAGATCAGCGCAGACTTGTAGTGAGAGCTCACATGGTGTCCAAGCGCCAATTGCTCCTCCGGGGTGAATAACATGCTCTTAGCTGCCCAGCTCAACATCGTGGCCTTCAAGCCGTGCACAGTCAGCACCGCCGACCGGTCAGGCCCGACCACGGGCTCCAGCAATTCCCTCAGCCAGAATGTGGCCTCAGCAGTTGACATCTTTGTGTCTGCCCAATCGCCTTGATGTTCGGACCAGGAACACAAAAAGTGGCACCATGCAAAGCTGCCTGAATCCTCTCTTGCACTTAACCATGAATCTGCCCAGTTTTCACCAGCCAGGGTCTGTCCCAGTGCCGTGAAAGGCAGCAGCTCCCTTTGTTGTTCCTTGGTGCGGGACGACTTGTGCTTCGACGTTGCCGCCTCCAACAAGCAAAGGTGGTCTGCCTTCGACAGTTCCATGGAAACAACATGCATTGAGTCATGCCACCTTGCAGCAGCCATCAGGCAAAAGAGAAAATGACCAGCAATGACACGGTGATGCAGCAACTCATCTTGCAAACAAATGGATTCCAGCTGTTGAACTTCAGAGACAGTGAGCACCTCTGCTGGCCGGCGCACCCTCTTTGTAAGATATATGTATGGCATGTGAGGCCCCCACAACACGTGCACTGAGCATGTCATCAAGGCTGGTCTTGCAAAAACCAAGCAGGGCATTTGAGAAGCGCAATGCCTCAACAAATTGTGCTGGCGTTGTTGCCCCAGCCTCTGAAGTACGAAGGTGGCAAATGTAGGTGTACACAATGCCCTCGCTCTGGTTGAACGGAGACCCCAAAAACTTGGTTTGCAGCCAACACGAAAACCTCCACATGGAATTGCAACGCTTGAGAATTGTTCCAGAAGATTTCGGTGCAAAAACATCATTGAAAATCTGTCCCAGTTCCTCGTTTGAACACAAAGTACCAGCAAAAGTCAATAATGATAATCCAAGTTTTGTTGCATCGACCTCCAGCAAAACCATGGTCTTGAACCTGGATAGAGACAACCTGCGAAAATCATCATCACTTGAGACGACCCTGGTCGTCCTGAGGCGCTGGACTGTTGCTTCCAATTGCTTGACAGGGCGCGGAATCGCTGCTGCTGAGTCGCTTGCAGTGACATGGTCAGACATGCCCACGACTGAAAACAAACTAGCAGTTGCAGGTTTTTCCCAAAACGGCTTCTGCCTTGCAAATAAAGGAGATAGTGGCCCCCTTTGCCATGGTTGTTTCAGCTCAGAAAAATGTCCGTGCACCTTCATGGATGCGAACTCATCTGCAGTGCGCTTCACTCCAAGGCTGCGTGTGACTCCACTCACAAGGCTCTGAGGTCTGGACTTCGGTCTGGGCTCCAGGAAGCGTTTCTGGGAGCCCTCCGACAAAGTTGAGCCCTGTTCCAGGTTCTGTTCAGGGTCAAGCGGCAAATCAAGACTGCCCTCAGCATCAGAGCCTGCAAAACCATGCACATGAAGAAAAGAATCATCAGCCACATCTGAAAATTCATCACGCTGCAAACCAAAAAGATCCTGCTGTGAGTCCTCACATTGATTGCCGGCAGTCCCATGCTGTCTGGACAAGACTTGACGATGCCAGCGGTCTCTGAAACCACCTTCAACCACAACCATTTGGACTTGTTTGAGTGTTGCACCCCCGTAAGAAAGAAACAAGTCAAAAGCCCAAATAATGATGACACTGATGAGTACCAGTAACACGTTTCTTTGCATGAAACGGTATAGTGTCGTCACGGTCTGAAAAGCAGCAGGGCGCCCCCTGTGTCGGTTGCAGATCTTCGCATGCAACTACGGAGCGCCCCAAAAGAAAGAAGGTTGTGAAGGTGGAACTTTTGTCTGTTTTCTTTTTTAACCCACCTCAACCTCACCCTTGAGATGATAATGGCCATGTCGATAAAAAAATTGGATTGAGTTCATGAGGAAGAGTGGCAAACTGTGTGTTAAAACTTAAGGTTGGAAACACAGTGTTAAAATCCTCATGAAGAATAAAATACGCAACAAAGCAAATGTTTTTTTTTGGCATGGTGTTGCCAAGCACCAGGTTTTGCACCTAAGGAAAAATTTGTTTGAGTGTTGTATCCAAATTTTTCAAATTGTTTCCTTCAAAGATAATGCTCTCACTTCGTGATAGCACTCATCTCCTTTGCCCTTGCCCTTCCATGAAGGCATTCCTTTGAAAGAATCCTTACCTTTCATTCCTTTCTTGCCCTTTTTGCCTTTTCCTTTGCCTTTTCCCCAGAAAGCTGTGTCTTGCTGGTCATCTTCCCATGCTGCATAACCTTTTCCTTTTGACCTCGGGCAGAAGCTGGGTCTTGATCTTTTTCCTCCTTTCTTTCCATAAGCTTTTGGTTTACCTTTCTTGAAGGACCGGCCGCGAATACGGCGTATTCACCCTCTTCGGTCTCGCCTTCCTCCAGGACGTAGACAGTGGACCGCTTGCGGTGCGTGTTGCTCGTTGAGGTCTGCTTGGACTAAGAAAACCAGTGACATCAGATTGTCTGACAATGGAAATTGTGCGGCATGTCTGGTCCTTCTATTTGTTATGGTTTGTTCCCGAATCTCCTGTTGATATGCAAGTCTATCTTCATCTGTTGCTATGCCATTATAGTGCAGTCTTTGCTCATCTGTGGGTGCTGCCGTAAATGCCTGAGTGCCTGCTTCCGGGAGATCGGATAAGTCTAGCAGGCCGGACCAAGAAGCCAACAAACGCTTCTGCGCGATTTCGAAACGCCCAATCCAGTGCACGAATTCACTCTGGCCTCGATATGTGCGAAACATCTGGAGGAATCGCCAAAGGAACACATGATTTACTCCCTTCACGAAGTAGGGCCTCAATGTGTCCTTGAAATGAGCGAGGCCACGATCCGGATCTCGGAGTAGGGCATTGTCGAGCATCGACATCGACTTATAAAAAGAAGCGGAACCAATGAGGGCATTCTTTAAAGATGGTCCGTGCTTATCTGCATCCAATGTTGTAATCCGGTTTTCGGAATGACTGGCAGCGGCATATGCTTCAGGCTCTTCATAAGAAACAATTTGGAGTTGTTCTTCATCTGAATCCATGTTGTGGATTAAGACCATGGCAGCTACTCGAATTAGACCTACAAGTTGCCTTCGCAAGTCCGATATACGGATCCAGTGCAAAGAACAACAGTTCGGCACGCGGGATCGGAACTTGACGAAGGCACAGGCTCCGCTACCACTTTGAGGTAGCAATCCCCGTATTGAGGGAGCCCTGGATACTACTGTCACACTTGTGGTCAGTCAGCGCAAGCTACACTCTCTTTTTCTACGCAGGTATGCAGTAGTCTTGAGCCACGGAGTGGCGCAGTGGAAATGAATTCAATGTACATGTCAACATGCGTGAAAGCATTGTGTAGACACGTAAACAAAAATGAATAACAGGGGGCAGGGCCACCAAGCGGCCACAAAAGGTTGCAGATGCATTTTGCCACGGTGAGAAATAACTTCGTATCTCGTTCATCCAGAGCAGTGAGCGTCGACTCTATCAAAGAAAAGTTGGCCGAACAAACTCAGTGGGTCGGGCCTCTCTGTACTTTTTGTCCTCGTCCACAGCACTGACAGCAAGAGTATCTTGAAGGGCATCGAGGAATACGGACCGCCACCGGTTGCTACTTACAAAGCAATCCTGGTTGCGCCAAACACCACAAAGCCTGCCACAGTACTCCTGTGGCAATGGCACAATCCGAGTGGTGAGATGAGGCGAAGTCTTTGGCTCAAAATCATGTACAAATCACTGTGCCACCGAGGAGCAGTAAATAACCAGCAATGGTCTGTTCGGTCATTTCATGAAGATCTTCGCATCAGGAGCATGACCACAATACATTTGATAGAGCAACACGGATAGCAAATAATGAGGAGAAAGAATTGCCTTCCAGTGAAGCAAGCTGCCATCTCATCAGGCGTCAAAACAGAAACCATGTCACCAACGGCAGCAGATAAAACAGGTGGCTCAAGTTTCACATCATTCCCCAAATAAGCCTTAACCTAAACCCATGGAGTGTCATGCCAAATCGAAACATCCATGGCCCTAACTCCTGTTTTCTCATGAGCCATGTCAACCCCATGTTTCCCAACAGTTGTTTTCCAGCCAAGGCGTCCCAGTTTGCAAGTTAACAAGATGCAAAACGCAGCCTCGCAAAAATTTTCCAAATTGTAGGTCCTCAACAGCAGCACCCATTCCTTTCTCAGACGAGCTTTTGGACTTTCCTGCTAAGTTTCAAAACAAGTCGTTTTTCTCTGAATGCTCCACGATGAGGTTTCATATTCGGCAACGGGACAGCCTTGTCAGATCTTTCTTCTCAATGGTCATTCAACTAGTTGCAAAACTGGAACTGGGATGAGCCTCTTAGGCTTGCGATCAAACACAGTTTTTGTGTCCGGTCTTTCCCAGGGCATTTGGAAAGTAAATACAGCTTGGGTGGACAAACAACTGTCTTCTATCATGGATTTAAGATCTCTTTTCCTAGCAGGGCTGAGCGGGAGCTCGACGGCTTCACGGCACGTCTCGGATGCCTGCGGAGAAACCAAAGAAGTTATGAACATCTTCATTAGCTTCATCCAGGTTTGAAGGCAAAGGAACTCTGACATCGTCTAAATCCACGGATGCTGCATCTTATCCTACAGGCGATTCTTCTTTTTCCTACTTTTCCCTATTTTTGTTTTCTTTTTTCATTTGTCCAGAATTTAAGGAAAAAAAGAAGAATAAAGAAAAAATAAGAAAAATAGTTGCCTTTCCGGTCTCCATAAGCCAAAGGTCCTGTTGACACCAAAACATTGCGCTTTTTCAACTCTGATGCAAAAAAACTTTACAAAAATGAACCTAACACCCCAAAAAATGGGACCGCCTGGCGGTCCCATTTTTGGAACGGCATGCACAGCTTAGTGAAAGAACAAAAGAAAAACATTTTCACGGTCCCATTTTTGGGACCGTCTGGCGGTACCAAAAACGAGACCGCAAAATCGCAAAATCAACAGCAAAGGCCGACCCGTCCGAACAAAAATACGCAAAAAGCATATAAAAAAACAGAGGAGCCGACATGTCCAGTAAGTCTTGATCGGCAACAACGATTGGGCCAGACGGAAAGGGCGTCGACTTCGGCATACCAGCAACAGGTACCCTGCAGTGGTAGCACTATCCGGGAGTGGAGGTTATTGCGCGGCGTATGGTTGGACCAAACGACAGGAACCACTCGCTATTGCGGGCAGCTGTAAAAATCTTAATGAACCCTCAACTCAGCTCAGCGAGTTCCAAATCCTTTTCGAGCCACTCTCTGGTTGAGCAACACAAAGTCACACGGACTTCTCAAAAACAAAAGACTGCTGTACCAACTGCGGATTCCAGATCAAAAGTTGTTTCAGATAACATCCTACGCAACAATCAACGATTCCGACCTAACGTGTAGCTAGTTAGTACCATAAGTGGTTGATTTAACCAATCCAAACAAAGAATCAACCACTCATAGTACTTTAGCGTCACAGGCGATGTTGTTAGCTAACAACATCGACAAAATTGGTTGCACCAAAACTTGCCGTTTCCATATCATCCAATGATGATATTCACAGAAATCTTTACAGCATGATTTGACGAACAACTTCGTGATGTCAAATCATTTCCAAACGGTCCAAAAATGTTTGAAATACTTCTCAACTGTTCCGAACGTTTCCGAAAATGTTCAAATGTTTCCAAAACCGTTCCAAACAAACTGTGATCAAATCGGCTAAATCCCTAAAGCTCGAAAACACTCTCGTCTCATTGAAAACGCAAATTCCAGCAAATACAGAGGTCAAAACGCAATGTCACCGAAATCGCATCCAATGAAATACCGTCCATTCTAGAACATTCTCAGCTCATCAAAAGTGCAGAGTCTCAATGAATACCGAAGTCAAATGCAGTATCATAGAAGCATCATCCAATGAACTATTGTACCAAATAGAGGTGCACAACGGTCTAATCCCAGCGTACATCGTGAAGAAGCACGACGGTCCAATACCATATATTCACACCCCCTTTCGGCGTGCTGCTTCCAAACCCAAAACGACACATCCCACTCGAAAAGTCTTCAGTGTCTAACAGAAAGGAAGTCTCCTGTATCAAAGGCTGTTGGCCGGAGCCACAATGATCCCATTCTCTTCCAGCTGGAATGCAATAACCCAAAGCGACACCATGTGTCTAACAGAAATTGCAACCTAAGCCAGATACCTTTGCTTCGATACATAAACCTCTCAAAATCAGGTCTCGTTGGAGACATTCAGAATCTCAAAGCTCATGCATCGATGACCGAAGTCACGTTGAGATCACGGCTTGATCACTCTCTTCCATGAACCAGATGCCTCTCTCTCAGGATCAAACTCCATATAGAGAAGAAAGCCAGCCAAATCCACGGCCTGAGTCTTGTGAGTTCCATCATAAGATCCATGATACTTCTTGTAAATGAATCCCAGATACTTGTTCAGCTCTTTGTCACCATCAATAGCCATCCTAAGCAGCTCGGAATAAGTCTGTCCGTTCCACTTCGGCTCGCCACTGACTTTCGGAAGCTGACACACTGTGTGAGACCAATCCTTCAGATTGCAATTCTTTGGCAATGGAA